GTTGCACATGATTAAGACTAGCAAGTTCTTTTCTCACTGTGAAGATGAGCCGACGGTGATTTCTTTTTCAATGGAGCTGTAGCTGCGTTTGTTTGTGACGCTTGTGGCTTGCGTGACCTCGTTTTTTAGCGATTTGACATTGTGTGATCCTCAATTCTGGACCTGCCACCTCTGATCTATTGTGGCATATTCAAACCGATGTGCTCCTTGTGTGTTGGATGTGCTCCTTGTGTGTTGGTTGTTCTTTGTTGTGCTTTATTATCTCCATATCAACTCCCAGTTGACACCCTTCTTGTAACGTATTGTGTTTGTGTTTTCTATTAATGAATTATCTCTATTGCTTTGGTTTAAAAAAAAAAAAAAAAAAGCATCAACAATTAGTCAAAGTAACCACAACCAATTTCTAAAAATAACATCATCCATAACATTATTAGTAGTAGTATGTTAAGCATCTCACGATGCTATGTCATATAACAAATACTTGCACGAGTTTAAACTCTTTCCCCTTTTAAATAAACTTAAATAATAATAATATTACTTGAATTAAAAATCATTCGACAACACTAAGGGCTGAAGCCATTAAGCTCCATCATGAGTTGGAATTATGAATTTCTAAGACATCTATATATGGTTGAAGTCAAAAAACAACTTTTGAAAATAATGCAGACCTATATGGGTAAGTGGAAGCATGAGCCTTGACGTTGAAACTCACTTAAACCTTAAACGGATGGATGTGCGTGTATACTTACGGACTTTTAACTTAATCATGAATTAGTGATATTTTAATTTTTAAATATTAAAAGAGATTTTAAATTCAAATTAATCTTATCGTTGATCAAAAAAATTATGATAAACATTATTTAACAATTTAGCATGCGTGTTTTACGTTGTGAGCTCATAATATACGTTGTAAGCACCAACAATTACGCATTCAATTAAGATAATGTAAAACCAAAGTTGAATTGTATGGCCTATTACATTTAATCTCCATGTCTTATCACTTATTTTTGTGGTACAAAAATCACCAGATGCGGCGAAATATATTCCAAGCTGAACGTTGAAATATCGAGCCCGGACAAACGGTAGCAGACAAATTACGCGCTGGCATATGTTGACCTGCAAAACCTCAGTACATTGATTTTCTGGTTACGGTCGCATATTTCTGATTATGATTGCAAAACCTCTACATATTGATTTTCTGATTATGTTGGAAAATTAGTTGCTTAGTTTATATTATTTGTAATTTTTTTGGGTCAAGAGTGTTTGTTTTAGTATTTTTCTATATACAAGAGTGCTTGAATTCATTTTTTTAAAGAGACCAGTTAGTGGCTTCACCACGACATTCTATCATTTTGAGGGTTAGGAAGACTAAGCCTTCCCCTGACCACCATCGTGTTCACAAACGTTAGGAATCGAACATTGGATGCGCCGTATGAAATACGAACATGGAATTCGTCCCCAATCACTGCGTCATCTTGTGATGGTTGTATTTGTTGTTTTAATAAGTCATTCTCAATATAGTCTTATGAGTTATGTACGGTCTTGATCAATTAATATTGTTCTCTTTCATTTAATACAACATTATTAATAATTTAATATTTTGTTTGTTCGTAACGTATTTTGATTTTTCAAAATATATACGTATATATACGTGTGAGATAATTAGAATAATTGGTCTTCTTTTACCGCATGATCCATGGTCGTTGTTGATATGATTGCCAATTATAACGGTTTGGAATATTAATAAATTCTGTCTCTCTTAAATTGAAACATACATCACGAAAAATACAACACATAATTTTCAAATGCTTGTTACCATTTGAGTTCTTGACTTTGAAGTCGAGCACCCTTCAATTTTTAAGATCCGGGCATTGGGTGGCTAGCGACCTTTAATTCAATATCAATATTGACCACAAAAAGAATTAAGACAAATTAAGGAAATAATCTAATGTTCATTTTATATTTTTGTGTAAGTAATTTATAGCTTTGTGTCAACATATAGAGATATTCAATAACTTAGTAGATAAAGTGTTGAGTTTATACTCATCCGTTTTGAGTTCAATACTCTTATCTGCTCTAAATTATCAATTGGAATTGTTTCTAATACTCCGATCCTTCTTCCCTTAATAATAATTTAGTCTTCCCTTAATAATAATTTAAAATATAAAAAATATCCAGTGTATTTGATTAGATCGTGATATATATATATATATATGTATATGTATGTATGTATGTATGTAATATAATAAAAATAACTTAAGTAAAGTGCATTTTTAGCTTATAGACAAATTAAGCACCAACAACATTTACTTATGATGCATGTGCTTGCAAAATATATGTTGTTGGTGCTTCGTTTTAGATTATTAGACATAGGATACTTAACTTGAGATTAAACTAATATCTAGGGCGCTTGACTTATAAGATATGAAAACCCGTTGTACAAATTAAATAAAAGTATTATAATCAATTTAAAAATAAAAAAAAAGTTTTATAGTCAAAATGGTCCATGAGATTTGTATACTTTGGTCCTTGTGATTGTCTATCATTAATCATTTTGGTTAGTCCGTGCAAAATTATGTTAAATAAGGATCAAAATGACAAATATACCCTTACTTTAATAAATAATGGGGCAACATAATTTGACAAAAATTAAGGGTATTTTGGTCATTCTATTCTTATTTAATAGAGATTTTTCAATGAATAACCAAAATGATTGATGGTGGACAAACTCAAATGGACCAATTATATTGATTTCCAATCTCAGGAACCAAAATGATGAGTTATGCAAATCTGAAGAGCTATTTTATAAAAAGTTTCATTTGCACGCCTAATTGCGAAAAAAAGTATGGTTCCGCGATTAAAACATGGACAAATGGCGAGTTTAATTACTAGAGCAAAAAGCTTTGCTACTACATTTAAACGATACATTCTTTTGGGATCCGATTTCCTTGATTTCATATGGAAACCTCATACTTCTTTTTACATTTCACACATCCTCTTAATTCATTTCTGTTTATCGAATGAATCGAAACAAATCAAATGATAGAAGTCAACGAAGTGTGTGGTAGATAAAATAAAATGTATAAATAACACCATCATATACGAAAAATATAGATTAGTTGCATATGCTTGCATGTGTTAAAAATGAACGAGGCTAGAAAGAGAGAAAACGGTGTTGCATGCTGTAAATTGCTTTTAACATTGGCGGTCCAGAACGGACAACAAATTTTGGAAGTGGTTTTTAATAAATTAACCCAAATTAATTAGTCTAACAAATCCATTTCATCTTATTTTTTGTTTGTTTACATATTCTGAACTGTTTAATTATTCAAAACTATATTTCAAGAAAAATTATTTTTTCAGGGATCAAAACAAAATCGTTCAAAACTTATACATAGCAAAAAGGAACAATGAACTTATTCAACATTACTAAAAATAAAATCATTTACTAACTCACTGAAAATACAGTAAAACCTCTGTAAAGTTATACTGTTGGGATCAAACCAATTTAATTGATGTGTAGTTAAAATTATTATTTATTGCCTTATTTATCCTTGATAAATATTGTATGTTCTAAATAAGATATAATGGGCACTAAGTATTTTATTTCTTGCATATTTTTACACTCATTAACAATTATAACATTGTGGATGCATGTTTTATTAAGATGAGACCAAGAAAAATTTTAACTTATTACAATATGAAGTTTGTTTCAGTACATAAATGAAATATTATCTATTGACTTATTTATCCTTAATGAATGTTATATTTCCTAAATAAAATATGTCAAACGTGTTTCTTAAAACGAAACAAAGAAAAATTAGACTATATCCACAATTTGGGGTGCTAGATTCAGCCTCCGCCCTTGCGCAATGCATTAGATATGCTTTTAGTAGGAGAAAGAATTTAGATATATCAATACTATGTAAGTTGTTCTACGTTATATATGTGACTTAATACAATCGATACAATGACAAACGATGTTCCCATAAAAAGAGAAAAAATGAAGAATGATGTCATTGTGAGCATAGCAAAATGGAATACTGATGTCAATTAATTACAAGACGCAAATTATGAGCAGCTAAAAAAAGAGTATTTATCAAATATAGCCAAATATTAGCTCCTAATTTAAATAATATCAGTTTTTATAAAAAAATTCAAATATATATAAAATATTACTTAAATAGACACAAATACCCTTAAGCTTTAAACTTAATAAATTAAAAAACCAAAACCCTATTAGATGAAGAGTTCTCACAACTAAACCTTAAAATTGGAGGAGACCTAGTGAAGACATTGACTATTGGTGAAGAATTGTGCATCCCTAAACGAAGATGAGTGTAGATGGTTAATTTTTTGCACTTTTTCTCGTATTCGTTTTCTCTTTGCTTTTGTAGTTTATTATTTCGATTGAATATTTATAGAAGAATGAACTATCAATTTTTGTAACATTATTTTTCTCAATTTTCCTTTGGATTATATGTGCTTCGTATTTAACTTTCCACCTTTGCATTATTAAGGGTGTTGTCTGTGTCCGGATTAAGTTTTGAAGGTTATCATTAACTGTGGTAAGGGAACCGAGAGATTTGTTGTGTGTCTTAGAAAGTACAAAAAACATATTTTAAGATTTACAGAATAGAAATTCTTCAAGTGCATATTAGAAAAATTAGTGAAAGCACCACTTGATTATTGCACCATAATCTTTTAATCAACAATTAGTTATTTGTATGAATTAAGGGTATTTGAGTACATTTAAGTGATATTTTGAATATATTTAAATGCTTTTATAAAAATTGACATTTTTGAAATTAAAGACTAATATTGAACTGTATTTAGTAAATACTCCCAAAAAAACACAGAGAGAGGAAAGAGAGGAGAGGACAAAAGGAAAATGGTCACCTTCAAGTTTGAGTAGCAACAGTGACAGTTAATGGAGATGGGAACACAAGTACGAGTCTACGGTTCCGTTTCCGCCCGCCCATAAAGGTAAACAAAATACACAAATCACACCTAAGCCTGCATTTTAATACCAAGAGAGACGGCCACCAAAAGCTTTCTCCTTTTCCATTTTTTTTCCCTTTTTATATTATAAAAGATTGCACTTTTTTAAATTTTGGTGTTTTGAGGAAATTTTTGTGATTATTTGGTTGTGAAATTTAGGATTTTGGCAACATGGGTCGGTCCAAATCTGATTAGGGAGGGCTCTCCGATCAAAAGGGAGCTGTTTTTTCTGTAAATTGAGAGAACCTAGAAGGTAGGATTTGATTATTGTGGACAAGTTAACATGCGTTGCAGCTGCTTTGGTGCTTCGGTTGCTGAGAGGAAAAGGAAATCTGGTTCTGGTCAATTTGGCCATGATCTTGATGGTACGGACATGGTTAAATGTTTCCACTTTTTGGGTTTGTTATTTTTTTACCTCCATACTTTGGTTTTTATTCATGTGATTCTGCTGGATCATCATTGTAATTGTGATTGATTGTTTGTTTTGTGTGTTGCATAGAGAATGTGCTGGAAAATATCAAGGCTTTCTCCTACAATGAATTAAGATCCGCGACGGATAATTTCCATCCGAGTAATAAGATCGGGCGAGGCGGTTTTGGAACTGTATACAAGGTACTCAGATTATGCATTTGTCTTGTAATAGTTATAATTGGAAGTTTTGCACCAATTATAGAGAATTCATGATATCTGTGGTTCGAATTATGTTAGTTGTTTTCGATTCCAAATTTGTTGCAATGACTAATGAGTTGGCTCAAAATATCAAGCAATTGGGTTTTCGTTTTAAGAACACTTCAAGTTCTATCCTTATATTTTTTAACACATAGATGCAATGTTTGGTCAGCTAAAAACTCTCACCTATAGTTCAAGATTTGAGAAAAATAGTGATTTTGTATTTTCCTAGTATTATGTTTTTGCTTTAGATCATGCGGTGATTAAGAATGTTAGCCACCAATTTGGATTGAATTCTGCGACGTTTCTTGACAGTAATTTCTATTTCCTAGTTTCCAAGCTTTCGTTGCTGGTCTTACATTTCAAAGGACAAACTTTAATAATGATTATGCATTAATCAGAATACGTAGATGGTTTTCGTCCATGACATTTCATATTGTCTTAGTAGTTTAGCTGCGTTTTGGTAGGGAACCCTGACAAGTGGAAAGCATGTTGCTGTCAAGACACTTGCTGCTCAGTCGAAGCAGGGAGTCCGTGAATTCTTAAATGAGATTAACACTATCTCAAATGTCCGGCATCCAAACCTTGTTGAGTTGATTGGGTGCTGTGTTCAGGAAGCTGATCGAGTTTTGGTCTATGAATATGTTGAGAATAAAAGCCTTGATCATGCATTATTAGGTAAATGGATGAATTTTTTAGCATGTAAAGAAAACTGTAGGTACACAATACACAAGGATGGACCATAAGTCTAATTTGTTTTCCTTTTGTTTGTAGGTCCAACGAGTAATACCATCAAACTGGATTGGGAAAAAAGATCAGCCATTTGCTTGGGTACTGCCAGGGGTCTTACGTATCTTCATGAAGAACTGGTGCCACATATTGTACATAGAGATATCAAGGCTAGTAATATACTTTTAGACACAGATTTTAACCCAAAAATCGGAGACTTTGGGTTGGCTAAACTCTTCCCTGATGATATCACTCATATCAGCACAAGGATTGCGGGAACAACGTACGTTACTTTCATATTTCTAGTTGATTCAGTTTCCTTGATTCATTCAGTTAGGAATTTATGTTGCATTGTATTTTCCTTGCTTAATTCAATAGGAGATTATACAGAGAGTTTATGTAGCTGCTTATGCTTTAGTTTTGTTTTTTTCAGTGGTTATTTGGCACCAGAATATGCATTGGGAGGTCAGTTAACCCTCAAGGCCGACGTTTACAGTTTTGGCATTCTTATTCTTGAAATAGTATGTGGAAGAGGCAGTGCCAAGGGAGACTGGGGTGGGACAGAAAAGTTTCTGCTTGAATGGGTGTGTTGTTTATTTCCATCTTTCGACAAAATTCTTGGCATCATCAGATTCATTCATCTTTTCCTTGATCATACACGCAATCTTATGTTGCGATTTTGTACACTTTGTAGCTGTTGAGGTCATATGGACTTGTTTCATTTTCCATTTACGTTCTTTTCCACGATCATACTCGCAGTCTTATTCTGCTTCCTCTTACAACTCTTTCGTTTCTTCGATAGGCATGGCAGCTCCATGAAGAAGGGAGACTGTTGGAGCTAGCTGACCCGGAGATGGGGGAATTTCCGGAGGAAGAAGTCCTTAGGTACATGAAGGTGGCATTTTTCTGCACCCAAGCAGCAGCAAACCGAAGACCAAAGATGAGCCAGGTTCTTGACATGCTCTCGAGAAACATAAGACTCAACGAGAAACAACTTACAGCCCCAGGTTTCTTCAACAGTTCAGGGAGCCTGAGCGGACCTTCAAGTAAAAAATCATTTTCTGAAACCACTACCGGTCAGATGAGTTCCGTCCCCGACGCTATCACTCAAGTAACACCTCGCTGAAGAACAATGTAATTGTGATTCAGAGGAAGACGAAGATGAAATTATCTGCAAGTCCGCAAGAAATTATTCAACAGTTCATAATTTTTGTCAACCATTTTACACGCTTTTTTTCTTCTTTTCTTTTTAGCCATTTTGAGTAGGGAGAGGGTGGTTTGAGCAGAGTCTATAATTATTTTTTTTGTCAAAAGCAGAGCTTATTTGAGATAATGAATTTGTAATGTTATTTTTGATCTGGTGGTGTTATATTTTTTACTTCGGAGGAGTACAATGGAAGGCAAGAATGTTGGATAAATTAATCAATACACCCTTGACAAGCGTTTTTTGTGGGGTCTATTTTGTAATATATTTTAATGATCTGAATCATCTATTTTTATAACATCATTCATAGATTATTCTTGTGAAAAATTAGAGAAATTCAAGATTATTAAGACATTTATTTTCATTGAAGAAAATGGTACAAATACAGATGTATAAAGAGACCCTAAACTTTAGTCCACCGGTCATATGGTTTCAAATTTGGTGTTTTTGGTAAACATGATTTTTGAAGAAATACTTAAAAATAGACAATTCAAATCATTACAATAAATTACTTACCTCATAAAAACGTGTGTCAAAAGTGATACCACGGATCAACTCCCATATATATACATAATAGATGCTTTCGACAAGAGCAAGAATGTTGGATGCAATAACAATTGAGTCGGAGGGTATTTTTATTTTAATTTTTCAGAGTTGTGCTTCATATGGTTTTTATCTAAGAAAGTTTTGAGATGCGTAGTTATAAAAGATCCCTGCAAAATGGAAAAGTTTTCATAGGGATTCCAAGGATTCCGTCGTCGTGATCATTGATCGTACATAGTGTGATTACTTTTTGTTATGTACTATTTACATTTAGTTTTAAATTTTATAATAATTTCTGACCGCACAATGTACGATTGACAATCCCGATTACAGGATCCCTAGGATCCCTGCAAAATTTCGCACCATACAGTATACGTCATTCATGAATATTTAAACAAATTTCGAACTTGAATGCAGAAACGGAAACACAATTTCTCTTACCAATTTGGCTAAATCCGTAAACATCAAACAAGATGATCATATGCATCATGGTTGATGGAATCGACATTATTTTAATTCAAAATTTCGTCCTCATCACAACAAATCTGGATGCAGTTCATCACAACGCGTCTGCTGATCCAAAAAAGTAAATATTCATAAAATGTGTGCAAACAATGAAAATTCCAAATCCCAAATCCCAAACACAACACATTCAAACACCAACGTATATAAAGGCCTGCACAATTAAAACCTAAACACTAATTAATGGAGGCCAAATATTACAATCTTCGGATAATAAGTAGCAAACGAAGCCGGCGATTTGTAGCCGATAGTTAATTAGAATCTCAAAAAAAAAAAAAAAAAATGGAAGGGTTCGAATTAAGCAGCGAGTTCCTCGGCAGGTGCAGGAGCGGCTTGTTCGGGAGCGTTTGAAGAACCATTGGAGGTGGCATCCTTGGCTTCTGAAGCAGGCACCTCAGCTTCTGCAGTCGCATTAGCTTTTGGTGCTGCATCCTTTACATTTTTGGCATCTTTGGCCGGAGCCTTCCCGTCTTTGGCGTCTTTGGCTGGAGCGGGTGGGGGTGGAATCATGTGAGGTGGAGTTTTATGCTTCAGCTTCACATGTATTTGCCGCAGCCTCGAAAGATCGGTGGGCTTTCCCGGCTTTGGGCCTTGAATGACTTGGATCCCTGGTTTCTTTTCTTGATCCTTCTTGCCTCTCCTCTTCTCAATGTTGGGAACCTCGTGCGGAATGAGCTCCGCGATTGCTTTCCAACTTTGCTTGTCAGCGTTTTTATGGAAATTCTCTTGATTAACCAAGAACAACTGCTCAACATACAAACCAACTTGTTAGCATTAGGAACCAAAAACCACAGCCAGTTGTCAAGAAGCGGGCATTCCAATACTTACCTTCTCCTTTTCTCTGTTGTGGACCTTGTTGGTCTCAACGTTAAGCTTCCTCTTCTCGTAGAATGCACGCTTGAACTCCTCAGCCTCTTCAATAATTTGGTTCCTCAGTTCTTTCTCCCTCTTCTCCTTCTCCTCAAGCAGGATGGCATTTTGACTGTACCAGAAAAGTCAAGTTAGGTCATTAATATTCTAGCAGAAATATAACACCATTACCTAACTTGTAACTTTTGTGCAGATCGACCAATGCGTGCACAAATCACTAAAGCAACTTACCGTTGTCGTTTAGAATGACTACAATCAACTTACCGTTGTCGTTTTGAACAACAATCATGACAAATTTGTTATTTCATTAGTAGTTTGCTGTAGTTCAACTGTTATACCCAAGACTTTTTTCCTACCGACCATCCGATTGGATTTGATGGAAAAACTGAACCACCCTTTTTCGTCATTGATTTGATAAAAACTCCGATGAAGTTTGATTAACCTCAAATGAAACTAAATTTTGCACACAACTCACTATAGCAAGTCTAGCAAAGAAAGAAAGAACTTATTCTTCTATGATTGAAAGCAAAAAATTTTCCTTCTGGCAATCAGATCCAAGAAAATCAATAGCAATCCTCATTCCGATTCACTAAATTTGACTCAAAAAGCACTACAATTTGGTTTAGAAGCAGCTCCAAACTACACAAACACAATCAATCGCTGATCTATGTCTTTAAGAACCGCATAAACCTAACAATTTGATCAACCTTTCTCGAAAAATCGCAACTAATGAACTAACATTTCCGTACCTTTTAGTGATCACAACTACAAGAAATCACACAGATCTAACAATAGTTCAATACAGACACCTATATTTAGCTCAAAATCTAAGATCAAACGGATGCAGAATTTCACAGATCTAAAGCAGCAGCTCACAAAGCAAGCAACTAGATTTCCCAAAAAAAGCGAATCGGATCCGGATCTTACCGCCGCCACTCACGAAGAGCGGAACCTTCCTCGACAAACTCGCTAGGTTCCGGGAGCACGGGACCATCGGATGTGAAGACGCCATCATCGATTCCGTTCTCGCCAACGCCGTAGCCATTTCCGTTGCCGTTCTCAACTGGAATTGAATCGAAGGGAGTGGAGTGGGAGTAGTTGGCGTTGGGACCGTCGAATCCGAAAACATCCGGGGAGTCAGGGGCGGCGGCGGCGGCGGCGGCGGGGCCGTGGTCGGTGTAGGAGCCGTAGTCGGCGTAGCTCTCGACGACGACGTCGTCCTGGTCAAATTGGCTGTTCGGGGCATGAAGATCGTCGCCGTCCACGCTGAAAGCGTCGAAGGAAGCCATTTTTGGCGGCGGCGATTTCTGTCTCTCTCTGTCTGAAGAGGATTTCAGTTGAAAGAAAGAGGTTTTAATTGGAAACTAATGGAAGAAGCTCTAATTTTGTCCTTGTCAAATTTCGCTGTGAATTTTGACTAACTTTCGGACCACCACATTTTTACGCGATATATATATATTATCTTATGACATAATGCAGTATGCGACGAGGACATATCAACCGTTTTGAAAATACTTTCAAAATTATTAAATAGTATATGAAATTAACATAATTATTTATTTTGATCTCTGATAATAAAAACTGATTGAAGTAGTCATCAGTTTGTCCATCTTAAACCATTTCATTATATGAAAAATATGTCAATATCTTCGTTAAATTGTCACATAAAACGACCATCTGACCACTTTTTTAAGATTATACTTGTCAAACCAACCCTTTCACTTAACGAGAATATTAACAGATTTTTCATAAAATGATCAAAATAATTTACAGTAGACAAACTCAGAGACTACTTTTATCGATTTCCAATATCAAGAATGTCAAAAACTATTTTGTCTAAAAAACTTTTTATTAATTATGAACTTTCATGTCGTATGTGTATATTCCTCTCTTTCTCACTCTCACCTCACCTGACGAGAGCATTTTATGCTCGCACCACACACTGCTCTTATGTAAGGATGCTACCAGATTCGTCAGAGCATCTACAACCCAACCCTTAATATCACGATCTAAGTATTTCTCTTCACTTGTAAGTAAGAGGTCTTAGGTTTGATTCTTGTCAAAAGTGAATTTGAACCGCATTGTGAAGCTTAGCCTACTCCCTCACCCCCTCAGTATAGATAATATTGTTTCTTCAAAAAAATTATCAACAAACGCAAAACTGGTAACAAAATTTCCAATCCGTCGACGGTAAGCGAAAACCATATTACATTAAGCTCAATTTACATCAGTAAGCAGTTGCACCTCAAAGTAACATATCCCAGAAGACTGACATTTTCTTGTACTCCCAATCTTTGCCAGAGATGGACACCGAAAGAAAACTGGCAGTCAGACTGAAATAACCGTCAATGCAGAGCGTGCCGGGACTACATAGCCGCAACTCTCCCTCGAAGCCTCCGTGTCCAGTTTACTTCCGGTAACTAGACATCAATACACTGTTAATCCTACCTAGATAGGCCCTTTCGAAAGTCTTGGAAGAAATGCATCAACCACACAAAAGAGGAGTTACAAGGCATTGCCTTCCGAAAACGTTCAAGGAGGCTTATAAGCATATTCGGTTGTGGGGGGAAATCGTTACAACGACTGAAAACCACAAGAATGTTAGGACTCTAGTCACCTGACAAGCACCTCCCCGTTCTTTCAGAAGAATCTGTAACGAAGCTGTAAGCTCAATCTTGTCCACAATTAAGCAGCTACGGCTCCATGGTCCTCGCCCTTCTCTATAATATGTACGGAAGACGTTATGTCAGTAGCTAAACCAAAAGGGGATGAAATGGTGGTATGATTTTCAGGGAACTGGTGGAGCATTTTTCGGATATCTAGCAGAAGAGGGCATCCGTTGCAGAACTTGTGGAAACTCCTGCTTCATTCGTTTATTTGGCATCCCTTGGAAAGACCTTTTTACCAGAAACACCAAATTAGAAGGGAAGAATACACAATATATATATATATGGAGAGAGAGGGAGAGAGAGAGAGAGAGAGAGAGAGAGAAAGAAGATATTGACTAGCAACTAACAACATTTACAAAGAGAAAAAAAAGGAAAAGGTCTCAACCTACATATTTTTTCGATATTCTGCAAGAAGTCAATACAGAAAGCAAGAAAGTTTTGCTAAAATTTAAAGCGACGTATAATTTTCAATTATCCTCATAAGTTTTAGTTTGTTGGTCGGAGCTGTAAAACTAAGCTGCAAGAGCTTTCATGTCATGTGCACCAAGAGCTGCGAAATAGAGCCAACTGAATTATTGGCTCACTTTCGGGGCTGCTTGATCCAACCAAAGTTCAAACTTCATTAAAAAATTGGCAAACATAATTACACACTTGCAGCTGATGAATTCACACACCTTGGAGAAACCTGACGTTTCTGAGCAAATAAAGTTGATCTTAGACTTCCGAGCGCCTTTTCAGCGGCCTAAGGAAAAGATTGTTTAGATGGACAGATGTTACATTTCAAAAAGACTAGGCACAATGAAGGGTACTCCGAATTGGACCAGTAGAAAAATTACCTGCATCTTAGCCTCATCCCACGTCAACCCAATCCCCTTTCCCAAGACCTCTCCATCAATTTCAACCTGTAACATAATAACAATAGAGAATTATAAAGAAAGGAAGGGGGCAGAAAGAGAAGAAACATGCTTCAAGACAAAACTCAAATGTGATTCAGAATAATGAAGCATGTAATCATGGCAAATACAAACCTGTACATGCACTTCATCTTTCTCAACTGAATTAGCTGAAGGTGGAGGTCGCGGTTGAAAAACTACACCACCAAGGCCCTCCATCATACACTGAAATAGTAAAAATTATGGAACGTCAATAATCATAACATCATTCAGCACCTGGAAATAAGAGAAAAAGATAGAGACTTGCAAACTATCATGTATTGAATCTTACAAGTTCTTTGAGGGCAGAGACTGAATTCATAGATTTTTGGAAGCCTTCAAGCCTAGGGTCTAGTGGCCTAGAAGGCTCCGATGAAGTTGAAGATGACAGGGACTCCTCTTTGGGAAATGACTGGATCCCAAAAGAATTCGCATTACCCACAAAACCATTGTTGTTAACATTAGAAAACTTGCTCATTTCCCCATTAACAGGCACAGAATCAAGCTTGACGCGGGAAAGGTATATATCTGCAAAAATGTTGTCCAGGATTGTCACACACACACCAAAAAAAAAAGGAAACTAGAGAGATACCTCAAGAATATTTTCCCATCCATGGACAGAACCAAGCCAACCCAATATTCCCTAGTACAGATCCTGTTTTGTGCAATAATTTCATAAGCAAGTTGACTTTGTTTTAGCGCAGTAGGTCCTCGGTCAGTAGTTTCGTATTGTTCCAACAGTTAATTGTTCAGCTAAAAACTTTCAAAATTGATTGACTGGCATCTTTAACCCCTGATGGAAAGCTGACAAAGTTTAAAATAACCCCTCAATCCTCCATCCATGGCTTTTGCTACAAAAGCACTTCGTTCAGCAGAATAATCATCTAAGATCAGCTCCAGTATGATTGTATCAGTGACTCGAGAGTTTAAAATATTAAGCAGAAGATGGATCTTAAAAATATGTCATATATTGACTTAATTCCACAATATCCTTTTCCATCGAAAGTTAAGAGATTGTAGTGTTTGTGGCTTAACAGTCAAGGACAACGCTGCCTAGAATATTTTGCCATCATTTAATTTTTGGAAGAAAAGAAGCAAATGGAATATTAGCCTTGAGGTGGGCTTCACACGTATCAATTAGTTGTCAATTTGTTCCATCACTGCTCTCGTATCAAATCAGTTTGTCGAGCATAAATTTACCGGTACAAGAACCACTTGAACAGGCACGAAAATAATATTGAGAACGACAGATCGCCCAAGCTAGTGGCAATAAATACAGCAATAAGAAATCTTACTGGCTAAGTTTTTTAGAGAACCCTCGGCAGCCTGGAAATGAGCTTCCCTTCTTGTTTTACCACTTCCTTCACCAATTTTCTCTCCTGCAAACCAAGCCTACAAAAGGCAAAATGGATAAACTAATTAACGTGTGGCATCCCCAACAAAGGAATATGCAACATCAGAAAGTAATAAAAACAATTTCTGGGATAAGCTACATGGTACAGTTTGACCTACATGGCATATGAAATTCATTGATTCAAATTATTGAGGCCATTTACAACTGATTACCAACACTAATTACACCCATTACCATCAATTAGATATGCTCCTTTAAAGTGTACCGTATTGCTATGGAATAGGGAGCACACAAATTTACTAATCTGCTTTAAAAAATTAAAAATATCAACAAAACTTAGTAAGATACTAAGATGTGATCTATAAAAGCAAACCATCATTTTAATATGAAATAGAATACAAACGGAATGCAATTTCCTGTCTTAGCTCCCTCTTCACCCGAAACCAAAGTTATCAACTTGTGGACATAAAGTCCCTAAAATATCAAAAATTGAAATGCACATCAAATGTCACAAACGATACGACTTATTACTGAATGGTTTAATTTTTCCAAAGACAAGTTAAGTTATTTACACATCCCAAACTCTCACCAAGAAAACATTAAACTATGGTTAGATAAGTTCAAAACGTGATACCCCAGAAACTAATGTGGAATTATAAGGTAGTAAGCCAAAGATTGAAAGTACCTCAACATAAAACTGGAGTTCCGTGCTAGCAACCAAAGCTGGCCTAAACTCCACCTGTGGAACGCGAGGTTTTGATATATGCAAAAAATGAAGAGTAAGTTTTCTACTGCAACACAAACAGCTCAAAATACCTTGGCTCCACACTTCATTGCGATTTCCTGTAAGGCTCCAGCAGGAGTCTCTGCATTTGATATAGCTCGTCCAGATTCAAAGTCCACATCTCTATTCATGGAAGAGGATCGACTCAAGGGAATCTCCTCACCTTCAAATTCATGTCCCCGTTATATTACACCACTCTCATGATAATATACAATAATTACATATAAATAAAACAACTGTTAGTTACACATTTTAAGAAAGACAAGAACCATTAAATTCCACTTGGATAAAAAATTCAAAAAGAAGATAAGATAACCCGATTGCGTAAATAATACTCGATTAATAACCTTCCAAAAAAGAATAATCATTGCCATGGTATAGTCTCAAACATGTGAAACTCTAGGCAAATTATGATAGTACACTGCTGATGGTAAAAGTACTTTTGGAAAATGTTCAAGCCTTGAAAGCAGCATCTATCAATGAATTTGTACCAAAATAAATAAAATAAACCATGAAAATCATTGTAGTACTCAATTGTGCATGTCATAGCTCACCTGACACTGAATGATAGCCAGCCGATGCATGGTTGAATCTCAGCCGATCATCTCTATGAAATGCCTGGAAAACAATAATCTTTTAGGACTAGTCTTGTCTACAATCCAGTCACATGCAACATCCACCACTCAGCATAACAAAATAGGATTAAAGCCAGATCAACAAAGTGTAAATACCTCTTTCGGAAATCTTTGATTGTCTTGAAGAATCCTATCAGATGGAATAGAGTTATCAACCTTAGAGAAAAAAGCTGAATGATGAGGTCGATGCTTCTCAATCTGCATTGGATCTGGATCTAATGGAAGTTCTTTGGGTACCATCCGGCTCAGTTGCCGAGGGCTCATTTCTTCCTCCACTGGAAACCAGCCTGGATGCGGTTGCACCCGTGGAACAGAGGCTTGTACTGGAGGTCTGGCAGCAAATGGGGGCTCACTCGGTGGTGGTTCTCTTGTATCTTGGCCATGCTGCAAAATCAGTAGCCTCCGCCTTGTATCAGGGTCTAACTCTGATTCAGGTACCTCTCCCTCCTCTCTAGCAGGAGAACTATGCAAGCTTGGTTCTGCAGCACCAAGATGACCCAACGGTTTAACCACTGAAGCTGCCTGAGGGAACTGTATATTAGGAAAAGTCATTGCTGATTGCTGACTTGATGGCAGTGAAGTTGTGCTAGAGGAAGGAGCAATTGAGTACTGAAGAGAAGCAAGCCTTGGATCTATGTTAGTGACTACTAAAGAGGCCGTTAAAGCAGCTGAGGTTGCTTCCTACATGCCAGAAATAGGTCAACCAATAAATTAACTTTAACAAATTCGCATATGCAGATGCACAAAAACGTTCATCCAAAGTGGAAAGTTCACATGTCAATGGAAATACTGAATCTTTATATACCTTCAGTCTTCTTTCAACCTCAGCATCTGCCATGCCATCAAAAGCGAGCGGGTCTCTGTTTCCATTTACAGCAGAAGTATCATCCTGAACAACCAAAATCTATTAGTGGAATTGTCATATTGTGACAACCGTGGTGTGGAGGAGATTTTTCAGGAGAAATTTCATTAAAAAAAAAAAAAAAAAAAAAAAGAATATCATACAATTGTTCCAACTAACCTCTGAAACTAGATGATTGCTCACATCAGGTGAAGGGACATCTTTAATATCATCTTCATAAAAAATTTCAGGTATCTTTTGTAGAAGACTGTCATCAAATTCTCTGTTATCACACCAAAAGGTGATGTCATGCCAACAGAACGCCATTACTTTGCTCATAAACAGAGCATGGCTTTACACGAAAACAGTTTAGAGACATTAATTCCTTACTTAAAAAATCCACCTCTGACATTGCAAGCAACATTTCTTGCAACACACAGGACAGGGACAGTGTTATTTCCCTGTAATATTAGGAGGTACGATGAGTTCAAGCTAAAGAGGAAAATAAATAAATATGCAAAATGTGCATTTTTGACAACAGATCAGTTTAAAAAGTTAATATCCATATAAAACAAAGCAAAGACTTTTACTTCAGCTTGAGGAGCATAATACGGGGCAAAGGCAGGAACAACATGCACCCGAGGTTGATCTCTGTCATCCCACACTTTCAATCGATCATCAATTACCAATGCCATCTTAGGATGGCATAAGCTTTCTTGGAATACATTGAACAATGACTTTCTTGAACCTATCATAATATATGAAATCCATTAATTAAATGGAGAAATGCATTTGATTTCCAGTGAAATTGCAAAACAAAATTTATAAATGAAATATAACAATTACCAGACTTCACACAGACAATACGATCAAGTAATTTATTTGAGTTTATCAAGTTTGAATCAGGATCCAGAAGCCTCCACATTTCCAATGCATAATCCCTTTCAGCCATTGTGCAAACATAAACCTCAAACCGCTTGCGCCCTCTTGCAGTCAGGTAGCTCCGAAGATCCTCCCATGCAGGTCTCAACCTCACGAGAACACTTGTATCACGAATCTAAGATAGAAATCCTATGTTACTTAGGACCTTATAATGATGAGTATGGAAACTTACTACAAACAAAGGACAGATATTGCGAAAACAACAAAACCATCCACACAACCGGATCAAGCAAATGTTGACCAAAATAACCAAATGAGGATAAATAAACGATGACGACGATAATAAACAAGGTAATTACATACCTGCGGATTAATGCGAGTAAGTATAATATTTTTCTCGTGTAATCGTATAAGAGGCCGAATAATAGGTTGATGATTGTCAGATAAGGCTGGAACAACCTCAGATTGAGTTTTGACAACTCTCCCATTATCAACAACTTGATCATTTTCAGCATATTGCTTCAAAATAAACTTGTCATCTTGATACCGCTTGATCTCTGCAAACATACCAGAAATACGTTGCGGGTCCACCTCAGTGCTTATCTTCCTCTGTAGGGCCTCAATTCGATCCTCAAAAGAGCGCATGGTATTTGCAACAATGAGTGTTTCATCGAGATCAAATACAATGCCCAGACATCTAAGATTCAGCATGACAAGGCAAGAATTGTATAGTCCTGATGCAACATAGAATCCCCAGAAACATGGGCACTGTTTACCACCATTCCTCGATTGCATGGCAACCAAATGAAGCTCCTCCCCTCCTAGTGGCATTACTGCAGTCTGAAGAAAAGCATGATGGGAATCATTCTCAAGGTTTGCACAAACTACCATTCATTCCAGATAACATAGGCAGAAACAAAACTTACTTTTCAATCAACATTAACAAATAAAGTTCAAAACATGATAAGAATTAGGTAACTGCATGTTTCCATTTTATAAAGGACTCTAGGCTGCATTCCAACATATAACAAAACTGAAAACTTGGTACTGCAGAATTCTAGAGTTCTTCCTTAAACACTCACATCCAATTAGAACACAACAAAAACAAAATCATCCAATACTCGTGAATGAATAATTCACACAATCATCATCTCTACATGTAACAGCATCCCGCAAGCAAATATACAGTAAGATCAGAAACAAGCCATCACAAAATAAAACCATAAGGTATATTCTCAACATCAAAGCGTTCTGTCATTGTACTAAACTCAGTAAGTTGAGGAACGAAGTTCATCTTACAATTCTATGAAATTAAGTCCACAGTTTCAGTTCAAAACAGTTAAAAGTTCATACAGCTCATGCAATTTGGGGCAAAAATTTTACTGGGTTCATCCAAAGTTTCAAACTTTATAGTGAAATTCAAAATTGGTCCATGTGAAATTGTTCAGAGTCCTCTGTAACAACATTATAAAGTTAAAAGGGGTTAAATTAGAATATGGGTTTTCAATTTTTTTCTGTTTTTTTCCTGCAATTTTGTTATTTTCTTGGAGGTGGGAGTTTAATTCAATGGTTGTGCTGCGATACCTTGTTCTCCTGAGTCATGGAGGAGTGCAAAAGAAAGAGCGGCGTGTCCGGAGACGACAACGGCGACGTCTTTGACTCCATCAATTTGAAGCAAACTCCATTGGAGGAGTTTATGGTATGAAGCACTGCCACTGGTGGACATCTTTCACTTGGTTGAGAAAAATAGCTTATTCTGATTTCCTTCAACTCATCCAGAACATTCTTGTTGTTCTCGTTCACTGTTGGATATATCTCTACTTCCCCAAGTAAATCTTCGCCTTTATACACGGACTTATACATTTTCTCACTTGCCAAACACCAATTTTCTCAATGCCCAAACACCATCCAAGAAGAGGAAAAAAAAAAAACTCAGAAATTTTATTCCCTCCTTTGATCTCTCATCAAAGTTTCATTCAATAAAAACATCAATTTCGTTGATTTCTTTCAACATCGTCGTCATCTCCCAAAAAAATAAATCCCAAATTTGGTTTTAAATCGCTGAAATTCGTAGAAAAAAAAAGAAAAAAAAAATTAGGGTTTTATTTTCGAGTGAAGATCTTAGATCCTTGATTGATGATGCAGCGTTTACGAAATGGAATCGGATTTTTGTTCTGAATTCTGGTGCTAAAAGCTAGGGTATGGTGACGATGGAGAAGAACGAGGGAGCCGTCGCGAGGAGAAACCCTAGATCCAGATAGCGAAAGGTCAAATTAGCAGTGCAATTCATATGTCAGATAATAATATTATAAAACAAAATTAAATATAATAAAACGACACCTCGACTCTTGGGCCATTTTCCTAATTTATACTTCTTTCATGCTATTTTTATAAATTTTCAAAATTCTTCTGTAATTCACAGAACCAGAGATTCAAATTCCATTCAAATGAAAGTTTTTATCGTATAATTATTAACACGTCGCTTACGTTGAAGGAAAATATTCATGGAACAAGAAAGCCAGAAACTGAAAACGAGAATGAACAAGTCATTATTCTTGTGATTGATTTAAATTTAATTTTTTTTTAGTTTTAGATACTTAATATAGATCTGACAACTACGTAATATAGTCAGCATTAGTTAATAAACGCATAAAAACGAGAATAAAAAATAATTATGTTATATCCGTGCATTAGTCATAGATCAAAATAACGCTGATACTCGTTTAAGTAAACATGTCATAAATTATCTCATACCCTTGTACTGTTACACAATGTTGAGGTAAACGTGACGGTGTTCGAAAAGCGGGGGCTCAGGTGAAGCGTGAGTTAATAAAGCTGGGGAAGATAAGCAATATGGAAATTTTATGGGTGACGGGTTGACAGGTTAGATTTTGGATCATAACACGTGGCAGATAGAGGTTGGTTGACATTATGTACGGCTGTGGTTTTTGAGATTCCGAAAATTTGACTTCTCGCCTGTAATATTACACATTTGCCCTCGTGTCGTTGTGTCTGCCAAACTTTCATTTCGATATAACGTTTGCTTTTTTATTACAACCATTTTCTATATGCGTGTACATGCATAACGTTTCATGGAGTTACAAATTTGTGGCAAATAAATGCTCATTATTCAATGTGTTAACTTATTGCAAATCAAAGAATTTAGACTTTTCTAAGAGTTTTTTTTTTCTTTGTTACTTGGTATTACGATTTAGGAGTATTTATATGCATTTGTAAGTGAAATGTCTTATGTTCAATTCTCGCTAACGGTGAATTTGAATCACATTATTGTTAGTCAATTATGAAACTAAGCTCACCCCCTCCCTTTTAATATAAATAATATCATTTGTTAAAAATAAAAAATAAAAAGTTTTTTTTTCCTTTAAAAAATGGACCAGTTGGTGGCAAAGCCACGAAAACTGTTTTTAATTTTAGGGTCGAAAAGGCTCACAAAGACATTTTAATCTCAACTAGCAACATCGCGTGATTTACCAGTATTAGAAATCGAACTCAAGATCAACTGTGTGAAATACAGACTTAGAATTCGGCCTAATCACTTGACCACTCCGTGATGATTTAAGAGTTCGAACTTTAGAGGATAAGAAATTGATCTTGATACATTCTCCAAGGAAAATGTGTCGGGTATTTGTACAAAAAGGTGTTTCAGTAATGAAATTAATTTTGTGTATCTAAAAAAGATTAATCTTTATGAAAAAAAGTATGAAACTCACTTTAGCGAGTCAAATAATATTGACGGGTCGAATAATATAAGATTTGCTTTCGCTTGCCCCTTTAGATGTGTTTGACAATAAATGCGACGTTGATGTGGTAGATCTTCATGATATTTTTATGTTACGGATCTTGGTGTAATCAAATAACGAACCCATAATACCAAGTAAGTATCGTTTTATTAATAAAATTTATTATTACTTTGAAAAATTTAGTTGTTTGAACGGATTTTGTACACTGTGGTTTTGCCTTTATGGCCTTGTGGTTTTTTTAAGCATCGAATTGAGTACTTTGAGTCTTGCTTATAGGTTTTTGACCATCTTATATAAGAATTTTTTGGTGTGTCAAAACACGGTCTGGTACACTAAATGTAATAATACAAGTGATTGATTTTTTTTTTAAAGTTTCAAATTATTTTATAATTATACTTACTGTATAGGATTGTGTTCCCTGGCACACTAAAAAATCTTTCGTACTAATGGATATCCAATGAAATTTACCAATTTAGGTTGAAAAATAAGTATAAATGCTGGTATTTTGCAATCAAAGCAAACACGAACGTATTATGTTCCACCTAATCTCAACCCCCCCCCCCTCTCTCTCTCTCTCCCCCCACCTACCGGAGGAGATGGCATCCCTCACTTTTTGTTAATGATATGTTTAATTAATTTGTTGAACTACAATTCTCACAACCTTGATTTCATATGTATGTACAAAGAGCTTTCAAAATAGGTTATAACTACTACAATGCAAATTGAGATAGAGTAAGGCTACAAAAGTAGTCTAACGATTAAGCCTTTATGTCGTTTGTCTCGCTTAATCCTTTAACTTAGGCATGATAATTTATTGCAGAATCTATTAACCTTACACGAAACGACACGAAAATAACAGGTTTTAAGTCAACCATTAACAAGTCAAGTCATTATTGGCTAACTCAATAAGATATCATTTGCCAAATATTGGCATTAAACATGTCAATTTATTGCATGATCCGATAACGGGTTTGATATGGCACAACATGTTAAGATAATGAATATAACACACACACGACAAACACAATTTATTTGTTTCAACCTAACCTGAATCTTTAAGATTTCACTCCATTATGCTCTTTCGATATTTAACGCAAATTGAGAATGTAAACAAGGAAAATAATATAGATTACATTTGGTTGATGTGGTTATAAAATGACCGAGGCATGTCGCACCAATGGCATTCAAATGTGTAAACAAATATATATGTAGGCATTAATGTTTGAATTTGATGATCCATCCATACCATTCATATTCCACTAGTACTATTTATCAAATTTGGTTTTATATTTACGATTGAATTCAATGAATATGACATCACACGTTATTTTTATAAACATTTGGAAATATTTTTCAGTATGTCGAGAATACGGCTCGATACATCAAGTGTCATAATACAATTAGTTGAAATAATTTTTTTTAAGTGTCCAACCAGCTGTATTACAACACTTAATGTTCTAGGTGTACTAAAAAATCTCTCCAACTTTCGGAATATAAAAGCAAGACATGTTAAATGTTGTGGTGCAACATGTTTTTTTATTTGACCAAATTGAAAATGTCGACAAGATTTTAGCGAGCCTATTTTATACTCTATCCTTTTTAGACAAATTTGCGTTAAAATTAATAAGTATCGTACTTCTCTTGAAAGCATGATAAATGTTAAACAAGTTGGTCAACCTTACCCAAAGCTTATAGTAATTAACAACCATAACGATTCCCCACTAAAATAAAAAATAAAAAAACAAAAACAAACAAAAATACTATGCAGCAGTTGGTTCACTTGGACCGGGCCTGATTTCATTGTACATGGGCCGAGGCCTATCTGAAGCTGAAAAGGGCTTGGGCTCTAAAAATATGCCCTGCAACTAAAAAGAAACTTAATTTGGAGATGTCGTTTCATTTCCTAGACATGACATGACTACTTTGGTAATGTCCTGAAAAGGTTGGAGCTTAGGAGAGTATTTGTTGGTTGATTATCTATCACGTCTTGTATTTTGGATTAGTTACTTGGTTTTCAAGTTATTAACAAAATATGACCAATTATCTAATTTTCTATGACACTTTAAGTTACTAAACTTGGCATGATTAAAGCAAAGACAGCCATGATTAAACCTTTGTATCATTGTTTTAAGGACATACTGATCAAGATGTATAATTTCATGTAGACAGTTTTTATGGAGCATAGGAGAAGTCAATTGATTCTTCTGAATAACTATTAAAAACAAAGTGCTATGCCACACTGAGGCGGAGAGGCGAGAAATAAATGTGAAGAAAGAAATTGAAGTTACCAATACGTTTCGAATTTAAAACTCCTCAATTATCTAATTTTTATAATAGTTTAAATCCTTCATTCTCTACTTAATAAGGAATTAGAAAGAGGATAATTCAATCTTAACCCTAATGTATGTTAAAAGACCAAAGTATCCTTAGTTCGATATGATCAAGAAGAATGTGATTGGGCGAAAGAGAGGAAAAAGGGCACAGAATTTCACAAACAAGGGCAGCCCAAGGAATTCAAAACCAAACCAAATCAAATCGAAACCCGAACCAAAAACCCCCATCTCTCTCTCTCTCTCTCTCCTCTTCGACCCAATTTCTCTCTCTCCTCAAATTGGACAACAGACCTCTCCTCCTTCTTCTTCACCTGAAGTACCAGTCTTCCAGACCTAGAATTTTCCAATTTCGCCCTTCAGTTTCAAATCGTGATTCCCCCAAACGAAAAGCCTTGTCTTTTCTATTCAGACATGCCCGTCCCGAACCGATAACGCAGAGGAAGGAACCCAGCCACAACCAAAACGCTGCCGTTTACCCAAGATGATCGTGAGAACGTACGGCCGTCGCAAGGGAGGGGGCATTACCAGAACGTATTCCGACACAGAGCTAAACGACGCCGTTCACGACGACGACGACGTCAGCAGCGACCCCTTCGGATTTTCCCTATCGCAGCCTCAAGAAAGCAGCGGCGACCCTTTCAATTTCTCGTCTCAGGACGACTCGTCTTCCGGGTGGGCCCACTTCAATTCGGACCCTTACGTCACCAAGGACTCCTCCTTGAAGCGCTTTCCGCTGGACGGCGTCGTCTCGGGGAGGTCCAAGAAAGCTAAGACTCGGAAGGAGGCGGTGGGGAAGAACTCCTACAGGCCGCCGCCGACGCCGTCTATTCTTGCGACGTCGACCTTGATGGAGGCGCAGGAGTTTGGGGAGATGATGGAGCACGTGGACGAGGTCAATTTCGCGCTGGATGGTCTCCGGAAGGGTCAGCCGGTTCGGATCAGAAGGGCTAGCTTGCTGTCGTTGCTGTCTATTTGCGGCACGGCGCAGCAGAGACGGCTTCTCAGGACTCAGGGGTAGGTTAGGCTGACTTTAACTACTTCTTTGATGGGTTCTTGGATGTAAAGAATTTCTTGGTGGATAATTGGAAATGTTAGTCTTAATTCGTTCTTGGTGGATATTTGATTTTTGGGTATGTGGGGTTTTTGAATTATAAGTAGTTTTTGATAGGTATGTGAATTTGGAGAGTGTGGG